TAAACCAGAAATTATATTTTCCGATAACGGGAAAAATTTTGTAGGTGCCGAAAAGGAAATTTCTTCATTTTTAACTAATAATTCAAAACAAATTATCGAATTTGCTGCTAATGATAGCATTAATTTTAAATTTATTCCCCCCATACTCACCACACTTTGGAGGCCTATTGGAAAGTGGGGGACGATCGTGTAAGTACCACCTTAGACGTATATAGGTAATGCTAGATTGACTTATGAGTTTAGCACGGCTTTAACACAAATTGAAGCAGTCCTGAATTCCCGTCCTATGTCACCTTTGTTCGAAGACCCTACAGACCTTACACCTCTCACGCCTGCACATTTCCTGATCGGAAGGCCGTTAACTGCTACTGCATGCGAGGATCTTACAACGAAACCAATACCCGCGTTGACACGCTATAATAGAGTTGAACAATTACGTCAACATTTCTGGCAACGTTGGTCAAAGGAATATGTTGCAGAACTCCAACTGAGAAGGAAATGGAAAAAGCAAAAGGATGACATCCCATTACATACTTTGGTACTGATCAAAGATGATAATTTACCACCGCTCAAGTGGAAATTAGGACGAGTCATACAAATCTTCCGTAGTAAAAATGGCGTGTCTCGAGTCGCTGATATTCGCACCTCCAGCAGAATCGTTCGTCGTGCCTTCTCGAAAATCCGCCCCCTGCCGCAGCAACCATCGAATCAAGAAGCGGAACATCAAGTTGGAAGCTGAAGCTTCCAAGGATACCTCGTATAAAACGCGAGTAGGAAGCTCTTGAAAGAAGCCTCAGGAGAAGCGTTCACTAATATTTTAAACGTCTAGCAAGCAACACAAATTTTGTCAACCACATATTATATTATTTCAAATTGTAATTATAAATAAATATTTTTATTTAAAAACAAAATAAACGATTCATTTGAACCGGGAACCTGAAACTCGCACCAACTAGAACCATGTTTGTATAGTAAAAAGAGAAACAAGGAGCAGATTTTTGTAACTGTGTTTGTCGATGATTTTTAAGCTATTGCATAGCTTCTATCGCGGGCCTTGAGTGCGGGAAAATCCAGAAATTTCGTAACGAAAAAAAACCTCACGCTCTCCGACGGGCACGGAGGTGTGGCTTGAAGGCCGTGCATTGTCTAACGATGGTCTAACGTCGTTTCTTTTCCTCAGTCTTCGACACGGTGTTTATGTATAAAGTGTTTTGAAATTTTGAATATGAATGAACAAACTGCATTTATTATTAAGGCTGCTCTCTCGCAAAAAGCTTGAAAAAAGCGTGCAGATGAACCAACTTTTCATCGACACTTACAGAGAAATTACATATGAAAAAAATAGCTAGTAATCTACATGATCTGATACGTAATTTGGTTAAGCCATAATTTTTCTATCGGTGTCACATAATAAATAAAAAAATACCCAAATCACCTCCAAATCGTTGAGATGAAACCACTTTTCTCCTTCATTGTTTATCAAAGGAATATAAAAAAAATATCTACCGCTTTGCAATACAAAATAAAATAATTTGGTTTGGTTACTTTTTAGAAATATGTATTATTTTTATGATAATAAATTAAAAATGCGTCCCGATTAAATACTGCGTCTATATCACCCCCGCATTCGTCCACGAATTCAGTGCGGGGCGCATCGTGTTGCTAGGTGGACGTACGCCGCGTTGCGAGAGCTCAGCACTACGAAATAAAATCGTAAAATATTACTACAAAAATTTAATTTTGTTAATAGTGGAGTAGGTTTTTATATATTTTTATAGAGTAAGGGTGACAAATAAGCATACAGTCCATTAACTTGTAAGTGGATGCTGTCGCCCATAGATATCTACATCAGTTATCGATTAAAAATCAAAATGTAGACGCGTAGTCACCTCCGAGGACTAAGATGGAAATGTCTAATTTCTAATACCAAACAGTTTCGTTTCTCTTCTTAAGCATATCATGTTCTGTTGTTCTGCTACTCCTCGCCGGTCCGAGTACTTTAATTCTTATGTAAACTAAATAGGTGTAAACAAGATGGGCATTGGCTTTATGTCATCTATCGGAAGCCATAAAAGTTTTCTGTCGTTGACTGTTATCGTCTTTTACGACACCCATGGGATCCAAAGGGGTGATGGCTCATGGTTCTATTACACCGCCACTACGTGGCTCAACATTAGTTAAATAGAAATCAGCAAACATTCTTAATTTAGAAGATTACAAGATATATTTAATTTTATTTCATTATGTGACAAACAATTTTTTTCGTTATAAGAGTTACTCCATTTATGGCACATGTCGCGTACCTACGTTTATAATTAAAACAGGGTCTTTATGCGTTAGACGGCGCATGTTAGCATTATATCTCTCGGTCGTTCGGTTTTATTTTTTCCCGTTCATTTATTTTCCAACAAATATTGCCTTACTTTCATTTCATCTGTTTATGTCAGCTTTATTGAGATGATAATATGTTACAATAAAACCATCAATTTTTTACCCCAATTGAAAATTCCGTCGCGAATCCAAACTAATTAGTACTACATTAGCTTAATTTTTTTACGTCCATTTATGTGAACATTCTGCATTTATTTTAAAAGGAAAACCAAGTCATGTATCCACGTCAGAGTTATTTATTGAAAGGAAGAGAACAAACTTATAACTAAACACATTGGGATGAGTTTAATATTCAGTGAATATGAGATATACATATTTTCATATACAAAATATTATATATATATTGGATTAAAACAATCTTTAGATTTTTCGGATGCTAACAAGGAAAAATACGTTTATGTAGTATGAGAAATATATTATTATTCTTCAGCCTCAATAATTAATTGGTTTTCAGTTCAAAACGGACCTAATCTTTATAATCGATTTTATTTTAAATTACTTTGCTTGTCAGACGGACTTGCAGGGATATAATTGCAGTTCACCGTCTTACACATTTGACAAATCTGAAATTATTATAACGTTATCTTTCATCATGAATGTTCCGAAATCTGTTTAAATGAATTCAATCACTTAGAATATTTATCACATTGTTGTACTTTTTTAATTACGCCCGAACACAATTGCCATATTTTTTTATATCGAAACCATTGTAGAAGGTAGGTTCATTTTTCTTTACGGATTCCTTCAGTGGCCTGAAATGCCAAAGTTGCCGAAACAACAGCGTTACTGCCTCTTTCAGGGCTACAACCGATAAAAGTGTTTTGAATATGAATGAGCAAAGTGCATTTATTATTTATTTATTTAATAAAAGAAAAAAATTTGTTTTCTTATCGGTCACCACGCTCAAAAAGTGTTACTTGAATTAATATCAAAGAAAAAGAAATACTGCATAAATAAAATAAATAAATAATTATAATTGCATAAGTTGATACAAAATGCTATGCAATAGCTTTACCGCGGCAGTCCCCGAGTGCCACACGTCTTTTTTTCATATTTTCAAATAGTAGTACTATGACAGATAGATTAAAAAAAGATTTAATGTTAAATTTCAAAATTAAAAGGGCAAGTAAAAAATTGTTTGGGTATGAGGGTTAGGATGTATAAAGATGGCAGCATATCATTGGATCAAGAGCAATTTGTTGATAATATTCTTAAAAAATTTGATATGTTGGATTGCAGTGGTGTGGATACCCCAATTGAAATTAACTTGAAGTTAGATAAGTCCAGTAATGTTAGTTCACAATATCCTTATCAGTAGTTAATTGGAAGCTTAATGTATCTATCTATCCTAACACGGCCAGATATTAGTTTTAGTATCAGTTATTTAAGCCAATTTAATAATTGTTTTGCAGCAGTCCATTGGAGACATGCAAAGTAAATATTAAAATACTTAAAGAAAACTAAATCATATGGTTTAATGTATACTAAAGATAATAAAAACTTGGAAGGCTTTGTAGATGCTGACTAGGGCTCTAATAATATTGATAGAAAGTCTTATACAGGTTTCTGTTTTAAATTTTCTGGAGCTGTAATATCATATGAGTGCAAAAAACAGCAAACTGTAGCACTGTCAAGCACAGAAAGTGAGTACATGTCAATATCAGAGGCCTGTAAGGAGGCAATTTATTTAAAAAGCTTAATGTACGAAATTGTTGGCTGTAATTATACAATTATCCTGTACAATGACAATCAAGGTGCTCAAAAATTGACAGAGAACCCTTTGTTCCATAGGAGAACAAAACATATTGACATTCGTCACCATTTTGTTAGAGAGGCTGTTGCTGATAATATTGTTAAAATTGTTTATCCGTCAACTTCTGAAATGCCAGCAGACCTTTTAACCAAAGGTTTAAGTAGTAATAAACACAACCAATTTGTTAAACAATTAGGCATGCAAAACATTGTTTGATGTTTACTTATTTTTTTTTTTGATGTACATTAAATAGTAGATAGAGTTGTGTACCTACTTAGGTTAATATAATATACAAGTTCTGTATAAATAATTCATATCATGTTTGGATTATTTCGATAAGTGGAGGTGTTAAGATTATCGAAATAATGTTGACTACTAGCTCTATTAGGTGTGATATGGCAATGCTCATGTTTACTCTGTGGTAATATAGAATGAATTGTACCTTTTTTACAAAATAAATGTCAGTCTTGTCACAACTACTACCGTGTTTTATTAGATGACGATGATGATGACAATGACGATGACAATGACAATAACGATGACGATGACGGTGACGATTATGATGATGATAAGATTACGATAACGACAATGATGATGATGATGACGATGATGATGACAGGGGATGACGATGATGATGACGATGATGATAATAACGACGACGATGACGATGACGATGATGATGACAGTTAAGATAACGATTACGATGAAAATTATGATGATTACGACGATGGTGACGATGATGATGATGAGGATGATGATGAGGATGATGACGATGACGATGATGATGAAAGAGACGATAACGATGATGGTGACAATTATGATGATTACGACGATGATTACGATGATGATGAGACAGTGACCGATGATGATGATGATGAAGATGAAGTTGATGACGACGTTGACAATGACGGTGACGATAATAATGAGGATGACGATGATGATGACGATGATGATGATTTTGCTGATGATGAAGACGACGATGACGATGACGACCACGATGATGATGATTATGCTGATGACGACGTCGATGATGATTACAATGACGATGACGATGACGGTGACGATTACCATGAAGATGAAGATGACAATGACGATGACTATGATGATGATGATGACAATGACGATGAGGATGATGATGACAATGACCATGACGACGATGATGATGATGATGACGATATGATGAATCGAATTCATCGAATCCAATTCAAAGAGTAACAATACAGGGTTTCAAGTCTTTTTCGTTTTATCCAACTTCAGGCGTTCCACAGGGATTGCATATCGGCCCTGTTCTCTTTTTGGTGTTTATAAATGACATTTCTGCTCACATTTCCTTTAGTAATTACTCAATATTTGCAGATGACTTAAAATTGTATAAGGTTATAGAGTCTCCAGATGATGTAGTTAGATTACAGACAGATCTCACCTCTATCTCAGATTGGTGCAAAAGTAACAAAATGCTACTAAATCCTAAGAAGTGTCTGTTTATAAAAATTACCAGAAGGAGAAACACTATTCCCTCCAGTTATTTTGTAGACGGAGAAAAATTAACAGAATCCGAAGTAGTCCGTGACCTTGGCGTAATGATCGATAAAAAATTAAATTTCAACATCCATATTGATAATATTGCATCCAAAGCATGGAAGATGGCAGGATTCGTAAAGCGAATATGTAAGGATTTGCGGAACCCTACACCTATTCTCACTATATACAAAGCTCTTATTTGCAGCACACTAGAATATGCATCACCTGTTTGGAACCCATCATACCAAATTCACAGTGATCGAATAGAGCGTATCCAGCGCAATTTTATCCGCTTCTTAGCCTTTAAAGATCAAACTTGTCCTTACCGTGCTGACTATAATACTAGGCTATCCCACTTCAAATTAGAGTCTCTCGGAAAAAGACGTCGACTTAGTGATCTTAAAACACTTCATAAGCTAATTCACGGCCTCCTACTATCACCGGCACTGTTAAATCAATTAAGTATCAGAGTTCCAAGATCTATTCCAAGACATCCGATTACCAAAATCTTCTGTTTACCCAACCAGAGAACGAATTTAGGTAAACGAGCCCCAATAAATAGGTTAATGCAAACGTATAACGACATAACCACCAACGGCGACGTCGACATTTTCCATACGGATAACGTATTAAAATTTGCTAGATTATGTAATAAGTACTTATAACTCTTTCTCTCTTTTTCAAGTTTAGCATTCGTTTCATTGTAATCAAATTACTTGTAAAATTATTGTATATTGTTCTAGTTAAGTAAGTTAACAACTTTCTTATATTAGTTGCACTATTTTTGTGAATGTTGTACATACCTTTAAAGGCGAATCATTTTGAACAAAACCAATTGTGTTATATTTAACAATGTCTAGTGATAAGCCAATGGTGTATCTGTTAAATAAATAAATAAATAAAAAAGAGAATACAATAAATCTGAAAGAAGTGGCTTACAATATCCCCGAAATATATCATTACGTTTGGCAATGTTACAGTCAAAATTCAAACTTGTTTTATCAAAACCATATTATTGAGTCTGCTGTCGGTGTTCAAAAGGGTGATCCATTAGGTCCAGCTCTTTTAAGTTTGGGAATTCAACCTATTATTTCAAATTTAAAATCCAAGCTGATTGTCTGGTATCTGGACGACGGTACACTGGGAGGTAAAGTAGATGTCGTCCTCAATGATCTTACTCATATTTTTCAAAATTTTATAAATATTGGTCTTGAACCAAATAATAATTAAAACCCAAAAGTGCCATAAAATTACTTTCAATCTATCGTTTTAAATTTTCGCATCAAAACGCTAGCCGCCATGCTGTCAACTCGTGACGTCACAGTCCAAGTGCTAATTTTGCCGATTTTGCGAAGGAATAAGATTCTTTCCTAAGTTTAGTAATGATTTACCATCTATATCATTATTGTATTATGCCGTAATGCAAGAATACGACCATAACAACAGCGGGAAAGTTATGAATTCAAGAGCAGACTGATTTAAATATAATAAATATTTGGTTAGACCCGACAATAATATACCTAAGAACATTGTCTACATAAACTAGACTATTATATTGTAAAGATCATTTTGATGTAAGTGTGACTAATATATAACCATCATTTATACAAAACAAAAAATCATGAGGTGAAGTGTATCGCAAGTCCCAATTTGTAATAAATTAAGTTAACTTATATATTATAACTAACGATTGCTAATGATTGTAATTAAAGATAAACTAAACTATGAAAACTATTAAACTATGTTTCATCGAAATATACTCTGACCTGGTATTGTGTTTTTGTATAAATAAAATTTGGTAATAGGTATTTACATTGATGTTTTAACATTGCTCAACTCAGCAGAACAAATATTGGGATTACATGCAAAAATTCTCAACTAAAACTCTTTTTTTTAAATCAGTGTACTCAGGAATCATCACCAGCGATAACGAGTGAATTTTTGCCAAAAATTGTACATTAATAAACATGTGAAACTTGTATTGCCGCCAGCGCTCTTGGTCAAGTCAGTAAACTGCAGATTTCCCAAAACGTAACAACAGTTATGTTTTCATATCAAAATTTTAATGCTAAAAACAATTATTTCAATGAGTTTCCGCATAAGAAAACTTGTATTTTATAAGATCAATTATTTACAAATAAATTACAGAACAAAGTCCCAAATCAGAAGTTTTATAGGAATCATCCCTTTTTATATGTGTGTTCCATTTCATATTTTCCTTCAGAGAAAACTACTCAGAATAATATTGACGAAAGTTTCAAGAGAAACATCAAACAAAGGGAGATTTATGAATGTTGTTTCCCTGTCTAGGATTAAATAACATTTGTAAAAAAGGTTGATATTTTAGTTGAGCAATAAGGGTCTTATAAAAAAGTTGCAGCATGTATTGCTGTGTTTTTCAAACCTTTTTTTTTTAATTAAGGGTGATAAAATATTCCACCTGATGGTAAGTGTACGTGGTAGCTTAAAGACATCTACATCTTTCCTGAGTTGAGAATCAAAACGCATTGTCACCTCTGAGGACTAATATGAAATACTTCGTATCTTGTTAAAAGGATTTCTGGTTCACTACACTCACAATAAGAAACACATCATTTGAATTGATCTGCTATTTTACGTTGGTGAGCATGGTTATTCCCCATAGTTCAATGCCTATTTCATAATGTAACGCACATGCTGTACGTGGATGATAACGTAACTGCATTTTGGTTCCTAATTGAGGATAGATTTTTATGTGAATGAATAGTTGCATCGATTTACCATCAATAGGACTGTATGCTCGTTTATCACACTTATTCAATAAAATAATATGTATCTATTATCAGTTGCCGGTACAGCCTTTCAAAAGGCAACAGCAGCAGCATCGCACAAAACAGTAGCGAGCAGTATAGCTCAGAGCCGTGCCGAACACTGCAGCGCAGCTTTAAGGAACAGGAAGCATTATTATTCCAGTGCTGCGATGAACCTTCTAAAACTAGATGGCTTGCAGGATGTCAAAACTGTAAACGATATCTGCTCGGGAGCGAATGGGTGGGGTGCTTTATGACAATTATGAAACTTGAAGTTGAAGTTCCCGAATGTTGTATTGTTGGTTGCATGTTCAGATCACGTCGGGGTTACCACTGTGGCCGGGGAAAAAGGGGAGATTTCCCGTCGGGCAAGTTGCTCCGCCCGGGTAGCGGCCAACGCTCCGTGTGGTAGTTCAGAGCTATTCTATATACACTGTTTTTACTCGGAATATTGATAGCGTGATTTAGGCTTTGATGTGTTTCTATTGTGGCGCGACAACAGCGCCGCCACATTAGGTATACACTACACAATAAGTAAAATGTACAAAAATTTAGTCATTTTAAAGAGTTATACATACAATTATCTAACACGATTAAAATTTGTAATACGGTTATCCAACTTATATTTTATTCGAATTGACAAAACTAAAATCCTGAGATATATGAATAATAAACAATTTGGATAGACAAATGATTGGTCATCGAGCAAGCAGAAAGTTTTGACTTGGTGTGATGTATTGGGAAATAAGTAATAGCTTTAGACCAGAGATTTTTTAACATTTACTGTTGTAAAAGTAAATATTAAGTTATCTTTTTATAGAAAAAAATTGTTGTTTCTAAATGTACACAGTATTATTTTTAATATCTTAGTTAGTAGTTAGCTTTTTTATTAGCATACTTAATTTACAGTGCTATTGCAATACGTGATGATATTTATTCACCATCGATATCATATTTACAACTATTCACAAGTTCACTGCTGAACAGAGGCATCCCCAAGGAATGCTAAAAAGCACGGTCCTGAGCTACCACCAGCAATTGACTTTCTGTATGTCTTACCAGGTCGTTACTCCGTTTAAAAAGTTGGGACCTCCTATACTCTTATTAAAAAAGAAGAAAATCTCTAAAGTGTCAGAGACTTACTTATATTTGTTTGCATATTCTTTAATTTTTAACTTCATATCCTAGAGATTTTCTCATAATTTTGTTTTCCATCACCGTGGTAAATCATCTGTTTCACATAATTCGAAATTTAAGGCCAGCACTTATGAAAGTAAATTATCTTTGTGGTTAGCCAAAATGATATTTTGCAATCATTATTGCTATAGAAAACTATAAAAAATAATAAAACACTTCTGTCACCCAGAGTACGCAGACCTAACGGATTTTCATTTGGCACCATCTTGACACAGCTCTCTTGCTTCTTTTACATCCACATATCTACGCACATACAGTTTAGGATAAGCTAGTTCCGGCTTATCTTTTATAAGCTGTAACTTAATATATATTCATTGTAAACTACTTTAATGAGGATTAGGCATCCCATCATGAATAGATTCAAAGCCAAATTAAGTAATAATATATTAAGTATTATAATTATATTTGGTGGATGATCTCTGAATAGATAGTCAATAAAATCAGACGACATACTTTACAATACGACGACACGCACACGCACCCCACATCGCCCTCAACCCCCGCAACCCTACACACAAATACACAAAGGCGAGCGCGCGCTAGCGCAATAAAGATGATAAAAAAGGAAATAAACGCTGTTTTATTGTATTTGTGATGAAATTATTCATAAAATTAACTATTTACTCCGTTGAATCTTACTAATAATTTAACAATATGCTGCAATTGATAATAATCTAAATAATACAAATTTATAACAAAAATCGAAAA